ACTTCCTGGATCATTTAATATTCTGCCCAAAGCATCCTTGATTACAGCAACTCTAGGTTTGAATCTGTTCTTCAGTTCCTTGAGCTTAAGAAATGGGGTATCTGCTGTCAGATACCAACTGTACTGTGCAAATAATTCTGTTTTTGCACTGAAATCATAACACTGCTATTGTTCATATGTCAGTTTCAAGCAAGTAAAATATATTTAGGGACTGCATCATATTATTTTATACTACAGCTCTAATATATTGCATAGTGCTTGTCATATAATGAGCTCTAAATAAATATTCTTAAACAAAGTTCTAAAATATTATAAATAGAGCTCTGAAGCAGTGATAACAATGAACTTATTGTCCGTTTTATGAAAGGATTTTCAGACAGCGTGATCATAGGCAGAAAGTGGAGAAAACAAAATCAGAGCAGCAAGGGGATTGAATTCAGACTTGACTTAACTAAATTTTATTCAAATTTCTTTCTTTGTGAAAATCTATGCATGATATGTACATAATTGTAGTTTAGCACTTAATATTTCAGTTGTTCACTTGCATAGATGTAATAGGTGGTACTTGCTCACAATCTTTTGAAAATTTTTATAATTTATTAAAATTTTGTCAATAATCAGAAAATGGTGATTAACTAGAAATAGAGGGACATGTCATTTTTCTCTTTCATATCCAGTGGCGTCCTTAGGTAATTCTATGGTCAATAAAAATATTTATCAATGTAAGTAGAAGACATTAAGATTTACAAATGGCAAAAAGGCCATTCATTGTCATTTTATTAGGTCCCTATAATAAAGCTAAAAAGCAAAGAAAATATTTGGTAGAATGAAAAACCCTTTTATGGTTTCTCAGGGGTAAACTAAGTTCCTGTGAGATAAACTGTGCTTTAAGAATTCAGATTGAAAAAAAAAATTCCCAGGATGTCACCTGCCTCAATGAAGGACTAGACTTCACCCACCTCAGACAGCTGCTTGTCCATTCCACTAAAGGGTTTTCAGATTGATGTGTGCATAGAAATAAATGGTAAATTAATACAAAATCAAAGTAGCAAGGGGGCTGAATTCAGACTTGAATTAGCATATAAATGCCTCATTCCTGTTACCCTAGGGACAATCTGATTCCTTTCCCTCTGAGGTTGATTTACAGACACAGTACTGTATGCTGGAATTTCATTATCCCCCACAGAAATGGCACCATAATACTGTTTAGTGAAGCAGCTGGACCCTTGTACTCAAGGGAGCTGTTCAAAATGGCAGACAGCCATGAAAGCTTCTTGGATGGAAACTTCAAACTTTGGAAAAAACTGAACTAAAAAAAACAAAAACAAAAAACCACCAAGTTTTGAAAATTCTTTCATCAAAATAAAGGCATAGTTACAACTTTAATAATCACTGTAAAGTAAAACAATAATTTGTTATAACATCTACATCTCTTTGAATAGAAAACATAAAGCAGAGTTTTCATGTGGAAGAAAAAG